TCGTGCGGAACTGTCGTGCTAGTGGACCGTCTTTGCTGTGTCACTGTCACCTGCTTGAACGATTCACTTTTAGTATTTAAGGGCTAAATCTTGGTAGCAATGTTACTCAAGTCACCTGAGAACCCGGCAACGACAAGCGTTTCAAGATGGCCCGTCTCCTTGTGTGTCTCGCCCTTGCCCTCTGTGCGACCGCTGTACGTTTACACCACAACGACGTTTAGAATGAAACTCAACGTGCTCGTTATTCTAGTCGCATACTCATTTTCACTTCTTTCTGTTTACAGGTTGTTGCTAAAGTAAGTAAGATGACTGAACAAAGACTCACACATTATTCCATGAGTTAATACTAATGCAGTTCTCTGTGCAGTACATCTACTCCAGCGACCAGATTGACGAGATCAACGACCGCCTTGCCAAATGCCTTAACCAGGTGCCTCCTGTCAGTGACTTCGACCGACCAAGCGACACCTGCCGCTTTGAGGGCATCGATGCCCTGTATAATGGTGCAACCAAGGAGAAGGCTACCCAACCTATCGTCGCTTGCCTCAATAAGAAGAAGGTGAAGTCCACCATTGTCTCGAGTGTCCAGGCATGCCTTGTCAAATCACTGGCAGCATCTCTGACGTCAGCCTAAGTTTTTTCAATGCGAAAAGAGGCATTGTAGTATTGGCTTTGCTGCTGGCAGGGTATTAAACAGCTGGAGTTTAAAATAGCGTTGCATTTAACTGTACTCCCTTCTCCATCAAATCTGCGTGGGCGTGGGCCTTCCTTGCATTTGCCAAAGTGAAACGGTCGCCTCACCTGGATATTTAACTCCAACATTATTTTTACTGTGAATAGCATCGAGACGACAAGTTGTCGAACGATCGCTGGTTCTTCAGTACTTATAAACTCAAGTATCAAAATATAACAAATTTCAATCGCATAGAGATGCAGCACGTGTAGTATTCCACACGGTAAAAAGGAACAGTAAAAAACATTATTTTCTTTGCTTTTCTTAAAAAAATAAAATTTACATTTTAATTAATGTGACTTGCAGCAGGCGGTTTGGGACAGTGTACTGGCGTGTGGCGATCGTACGGGGAAACCAATTATCCGGTCAGCTGCGGTTTCGCACGCTTTAAGCCCCCCTGCGCGTACTAAGCCAGGCCCATTCTGTCGGGGGCGGGGCTGGGCTGGGCTGGGCTGGCCGAGACAGAGCCGAACGCAGCGCCACAAAAACGGACAACTGTCCCTTTCTCTGTTTCCGTCCCTCTGCCCTCTGCTACGAGTCTTCTATCGTTGGTCCGTTGTTGTTTCCGTTGACAGACTTGCATAATTTTTCTGTTCGTAATGTGTAATCACTTAATTTTAGCAACAAAAAAACCTGTTGTAAACAGTTCGGAGAAAGGTTATATTTTCTTATATTTTCTCCAGTGACGTGACAGCCTCAGGGTGTATTGACTGATTAGATGGATCACGCCCGGGGCGATCAGGGTTGCCAACCTATTCCGCATAATCCAGACGATGTGCCCCATCCCTTGCCTGCGGTATGGTGTTTGTGCTGAAAGCACTTTACATTGTATAGCGGCAGACACACAGAATATAAAAAAAAATAAAAAATAACAACACTTAAATTTCGAGTTAAGTGAATTGCATGCCGTCGTCTCTCCCGATGATGATGTCATTCCCCTGGAGGGCCACTGCTCTCGCCGCCTTGCACGAATTCCTCACCGGCACGGCCCGATGGTGTTTTACTACATGATCCACAACTCTGCCCGGCAGTGCGTATGTGTTTTTATTCCGGGTCTTCCGTCGTCTTGTCCCTCCCGGCCTGGCGGCCCAGCAGTCAATATTGGTTCAGGTGAGGCAGAGGCGGCCGCGTCGGTCGGTCGCCCGGAGGAAAAGACCAGGACGGCACCGTCCTGCAGCACGACCACAAGCTTATAGTGTTTATCCCCGACGGGGCAAAGGAGCGCGGCCGGCCTTGTCTGCAGGCGAGCCATCCCCACCGCCCCCACCCCGCACTACGCCCACCCTTCTTGCAGTCAGACGGTGGCATGTCACCACCACCAGCACCCCTTGAGCCTCGCCGACAAACAAGCCGACAGAGAAAATGTGATCACTGTGGCAAGAAGCGAATTCAATAAAGAGATGGCGGGGGAAAAGTGAATTTGCAGCAGTGG